CCATCCACCTAGCACTCAGTCCCCCAGCCCCCAGCCTCCCAGCCCCCATTCACCAAGCCCTCAGCCTCCCAGCCCCCCAGCCTCCCAGCCCCCACCCACCTAGCCCTCAGTCCCCCAGCCTCCCAGCCCCCATTCACCTAGCCCTCAGCCTCCCAGCCCCACAGCCTCCCAGCCCCCATTCACCTAGCCCTCAGTCCCCCAGCCTCCCAGCCCCCATTCACCTAGCCCTCAGCCTCCCAGACCCCCAGCCCCCAGCCTCCATTCACCTAGCCCTCAGCCTCCCAGCCCCCAGCCTCCCAGCCCCCATCCACCTAGCCCTCAGCTTCCCAGCCCCCCAGCCCCCAGCCTCCCAGACTCCCAGCCTCCCAGACCCCCAGCCTCCCAGCCCCCATCCACCTAGCCCTCAGCCTCCCAGCCCCCCAGCCTCCCAGCCCCCATCCACCTAGCCCTCAGCCTCCCAGCCCCCCAGCCTCCCAGCCCCCATCCACCTAGCCCTCAGCCTCCCAGCTCCCCAGCCTCCCAGCCCCCAGCCCCCATCCACCTAGCCCTCAGCCTCCCAGCTCCCCAGCCTCCCAGCCCCCATCCACCTAGCCCTCAGCTTCCCAGCCCCCCAGACTCCCAGCCTCCCAGACCCCCAGCCTCCCAGCCCCCATCCACCTAGCCCTCAGCCTCCCAGCCCCCAGCCTCCCAGCCTCCCCAGCCTCCCAGCCCCCATCCACCTAGCCCTCAGCCTCCCAGCCCCCAGCCCCCAGCCCCCATCCACCTAGCCCTCAGCCTCCCAGCCCCCAGCCCCCAGCCCCCATCCACCTAGCCCCCAGCCTCCCAGCCTCCCCAGCCTCCCAGCCCCCATCCACCTAGCCCTCAGCCTCCCAGCCCCCCAGCTCCCCAGCCTCCCAGCCCCCAGCCCCCAGCCCCCATCCACCTAGCCCTCAGCCTCCCAGCCCCCAGCCTCCCAGCCTCCCCAGCCTCCCAGCCCCCATCCACCTAGCCCTCAGCCTCCCAGCCCCCAGCCTCCCAGCCCCCCAGCCTCCCAGCCCCCATCCACCTAGCCCTCAGTCCCCCAGCCTCCCAGCCCCCATCCACCTAGCCCTCAGCCTCCCAGCCCCCATCCACCTAGCCCCCAGCCCCCCAGCCTCCCAGCCCCCATCCACCTAGCCCTCAGCCTCCCAGCCCCCCAGCTCCCCAGCCTCCCAGCCCCCAGCCCCCAGCCCCCATCCACCTAGCCCTCAGCCTTCCAGTCCCCCAGCCTCCCAGCCCCCCAGCCTCCCAGCCCCATCCACCTAGCCCTCAGCCTCCCAGCTCCCCAGCCTCCCAGCCCCATCCACCTAGCCCTCAGCCTCCCAGCTCCCCAGCCCCCCAGCAGGTCACAATGCCAGGCATTTGGAACCAACCGCCCAGCCGGTGGCCCACCCACCACAGCTCCTGCCTCCAGGAGGGCTCCGGGACCATGGGCCGGGGGAGGGCTGCGGAGGCCTCCTCAGAGCAGGCCAGTCCGATCCAGCCCAGGGCCGTGGACAGGACAGGCAGCCCCTTCCTGAACCCGGCTCCCCCCTCAGGTCGTCCCCTCGGCCTTCAGTGCCTCTGCTCGCTGCTTTTCCACCTGCCGGTCCTGCCCACCCCGGCTCTGCCTGCCAGCCGCTCACTGCGGGAAGGGGACTTCCAGGGCCGTGGGGGGGGGGGGAGTAGAAGGAGGGGGACGGGTCAAGGCCACAGGTCAGGTGAGGGGCCTTCTCACTGGCTGTCACCTTGGCCTCACACGGAGCTGCTGAGCCTGGGAAGATCGGGAGCCTGGGGGCACATGGGGCTGCCTTGTCCATGTCTTGGGGGCCAAAGCCAACCTCCTGGAGCAGGAGAGCCAGGGGAGAGAGGGGAGGAGCAGCCGAGCGGAGGCCTGGGTGCCGTGTCCGCTCAGACGGGGCACAGGGAGTAGGATGGGCCCGAAGGGTATCCCCGACTTCAGGGTCCCCAACGACGGTGACAGCGGCCAGCACAGCCAAGCGGGAGCCTTGGCCAGAGGCACTGGGACCAGGCCAGCTCAGGACGCCCTGTGGGTAGGTCCTCAAAGGACCTAAGAGAATGTTCCAGGCCCTGGGCTGGCGGAGGGGGACTGGCCTGGGAGGGAGGGGGCTCTCACCCTCGGAGGGGGAGGGAGCTGCGGGTGCTTCGGGGACAGACGCCCAGGTTAGGGAACTAGGCTTTAGGAGGCGGTTGCAAACTGCTGTGTAGGTATCTGTCTGTTCCCTATTCTGTTCGTCCCGGCTGACCAGTCGGGATCACAGAGAGGTTGGGTCATTTGTCCAGGGACACAGAGCAAAGGAAGGGGTCAAGGCTCAAGTCCAAGCTGCGGGAGCTGGAGCTGCAGAGGCCGGAGGAGAGGAGCCTGGGGCGGGGGCGGCGCTGGCCCACAGCGGGTTTGCTGGGAGGGGCTGAGCTCTGCAGGAGCAGCATGTGTTTCTAACCTGGGGATCTTGTTCGGAGAGAAAATATTGCAGGTTTTCCGTGAGGTCATTGCAGAACTGCCAGGGAGCACAGGGTCTGGGGGATGGGGTGCCACCGGCTGCCTGGCATCGACCCCAGAGGAGGGGCCAGCAGTTCTCAGATGACTGACAGGTGATGGGATCTTTGAGGGGTTCCCCAAATCCTCATATTGGGGGGAGGATGGGGGGCGCAGGGGCCTCCTCGCCAGGACAGTGACCTTTCAGGGTCTGAGCTGCCTGCAGTGTGACGGCCTGCATGGGGCCTGGCGGGCCGGTCGGACCAGTCTGTCCGCACCCCTCCCTGCTGGCCTCTGCCTGCCTGAGCATCGCCAGGGTCCTTGCTGAGACGCAGACATGTGTGCAGCTGGGGAGACCTCAGGGTCTCTCAGGGAGCAGTAAGGATGGCTTGTCTGGTTTTTGGGGAGCTCACAACCCCATCCTGAGGAGAGTTGGGCTGGTGTGGGGTAAACGGGTTCCCCATCAGGTGGAGAGAGGTGAGCCACACGGTCACTTCCAGCTTTGCGTGGTCACAGTAAAATGCGAAAAGAGCCGAAACCGGTGTGGCTCCGTGGAGAAAGCGTCGGCCTGTGGACTGAAGGGTCCCGGGTTCGATTCCGGTCAAGAGCATGTACCTTGGTTTCGGGCACATCCCCGGTGGGGGTGTGCAGGAGGCAGCTGATCCATGTTTCTCTCTCATCCATGTTTCTAATTCTCCGTCCCTCTCTGTAAAAAAATCAATAAAAGTTGGATCGGAAACTAAGTAATTACGGGTTTCACACATATATGGCTTCAGTTGAATTTTTAGGTTTACAGATGTAGTACAAATGTAAAACACATTTTGTTATTTGATAGTTGGCTATTCAGCTGTTAATCAGTAAAAAAAGTTTTTTGATCTGTTTTGTAGTTTTCGTTTGGCGTTCGTTGAAAAATGGAAAATCAAAAGGAACATTTTTGTCATATTTTGCTTTTTTATTTCCGCAAAGGGAAAAACGCATCGCAAGCTCATAAAAAGTTATGTGCTGTTTATGGTGACGAAGCCTTAAAAGAACGGCAGTGTCAAAATTGGTTTGCCAAATTTCGTTCTGGTGATTTTTCACTCAAAGATGAAAAACGCTCTGGTCGTCCAGTTGAAGTTGATGACGCCCTAATCAAAGCAATAATCAATTCGGACTGTCACAGTACAATACGTGAGATTGCAGAGAAGCTTCATGTATCACATACATGCATTAATCACTTAAAACAACTTGGCTATGTTCAAAAACTCGATACATGGGTTCCTCATGAACTGAAAGAATCATAGTTAACGTAACGCATTAGCAGCTGCGATTTGCTAAAGAAACGTAATGAAAATGATCCATTTTTAAAACGACTGATAACTGGCGATGAAAAATGGGTTGTTTACAACAATATCAAGCGGAAAAGATCGTGGAGCAGGCCAGGTGAACCAACTCAAACAACATCAAAAGCTGATATTCATCAAAAGAAGGTTTTGTTATCAGTTTGGTGGGATTACAAAGGAATTGTCTACTTTGAACTCTTACCACCCAACCGAACGATCAATTCTGATGTCTACATTGAACAACTAACGAAATTAAACAATGCAGTTGAAGAAAAGCGGCCCGAATTGACAAATCGAAAAGGTGTTGTATTCCATCATGACAATGCAAGGCCACACACATCTTTGGTCACTCGGCAAAAATTAATGGAGCTTGGTTGGGATGTTTTGCCACATCCACCATATAGTCCTGACCTTGCACCATCTGATTACTTTTTGTTTCGATCTTTACAAAACTCCTTGAATGGTAAAAATTTCAATAATGATGATGATGTCAAATCGTACCTGATTCATTTTTTTGCTAATAAAAACCAGAAGTTTTTTGAACGTGGGATTATGATGCTGCCTGAAAGATGGCAAAAGGTCATTGATCAAAAATGGGCAATACATTACAGAATAAAGTTATTTAGTTCCATGAAAAAATTGTCTTTGATTTTCTTTAAAAAATCCGCAATTACTTAGTTGCCTACCCATATTTAAAAAATGCGAAAAGAGATAGGTGAGCTCGGCTGGCGTGGCTCATGGCTGAGCATCCATCTATGAGCCAGGAGGTCGGGGCACAGGCCCAGGTTGTGGGCTTGATCTATGATTCTCTTATCATTGATGTTTCTATCCTTCATTTCTCTCTGAAATCAATAAAAATATATTTTTTTAATTAAATGAATTGAAACAACACAGAAGTCAGCAGAGATGAGAAGTACAATCCTGGTTGCCTAGGCCTGGGGTTGGGGAATTGTTAACTTTGGAGCACCCTAGAGGGTGTGGCTCAGTGGATAGACTGTCAGTCTATGGAGTGATGGGTCCTGGATTCCATTCTGGTCAAGGGCACATGTCCGGGTCTGGGGTTCGATCCCCAGTAGCAGGCATGCAGGAGGCACCCAATCAATAATTCTCTCCCATCATTGATGTTTCTATCTCTCCCTCTTCCTTCCTCTCTAAAATCCATAAAAATAGATTTCTAAAAATTGTGTTTGGAGCTTCTTTTTGGTGAGCTATGAAAATGTTCTAAAATTGTGGAGATGGAGGTGCAACCCTTAATATACTCGGTGTACACTGGGGATGGGCGAGTGTGATGCTCTGTGAATTATATGATTGAACAGTGAATACTTGGAGACCTCTCAGACAGCAGTACCTGGGAGGTCTCTGTACTGTTCTTGCAACTTTTCTCTCAGTATGACATTATTTCCAGTTCAAAAGTTAAGAAAGTGAACAGGCCGGGATGGGGAAGGAATGACCAATGCTGTGGAGAGGAGGGGTGACAGAGCACAGGGCCAGGCGGGAGGAGCACAGGGGGGATCAGTGGATGGGGGGGGGAGGAGGGGAGCAGGACAGACAACGGGAGGTCTGTGGGTAGTGGTCAAGGCCCGGGGGGAGGTCTGGTGGAGGTCCGGTGCCGGGTTCATGTTAAAAGGCTGCAGAGGCTGCAGTGGGGATGGTCTTACTGAGACCATCGGTGTTATCAGCAGGGATGGCCACATGTGGAGTTGTTTGTTTCTTCCCAAGTTGAAGTGATGACAGTTTGAAATGATGCTCTCTCCTTCTTCTGTTTACGTTTTTAAGATTCGCTGTATTCTGGAAAGGCTGCTGGTCCTAAAGAACAGTGTCATGCAGAGGATTCGGGCCGTGAGCCTGAGCCCGTAGAGAAACAGAGGAAATTGCTAAGAGCGGAGGTGAGTCACGTTGAGTTCCCTGTGGACGTGGCCCCACGGTGGAAGTGCGGAAGGTAGCTGGAGCTGTGGGTCAGGTGCCCGGCCTGCTCAGCAAGCGTCCAGAGGGATCCAATGGCAGCTGTGTTTCTGTGGTGAGACCCTGTGAGTGGCCCCTGTGCAGGGGGGCCCCTGTGAGATAAGCACCCCCACACGTAGCCTGAGGGGCTGGACTCAGCTGGGAAGCAGCATCACCATAGAGCCTTCTGATGCCTTTGGAAGAGGCCCCACCAGGACCAGAGGTGTTAGCCCGCATGTGTCAAACACAAGGCCCGCGGGCCAAATCCGTCCCGCCAGGCCTTGCAATGTGGCCCGCACCTCGCTGTCATCACTGCACTCCGCTGCGTTTCCATCACAATGACAGTTTATGACTGTTCAGTAAACCATTCGGCCCGCGATTTAGGCTGGATTTTAGATTTTGGCCCCTTCTCTGATTGAGTTCGACACCCCTATGTTAGCCTATCAGGAGAGGGGCTTGTCTGTGTCACCTCCCCAGGTATTTTCACGTGGGGCCACAGCGGAGACCCCTGCGCTCTCCAGTCAGGCGAGTCCTCTGTCCTTCCTTAAAAAATGTTTTTAAGGGAATTTATATATATTGAGTTCAGAGAGGAAGAAAGACAGAGAAGGAGGAACATCGATGATGAGAATCATTGATTCACTGCCCCCTGCACACCCCACCCTAGGGATGGGTGCCACACGCAGGGCATGTGCCCTGACCTGGAATCAAACCATGACCGCCTGGTTCATAGGTCGATGCTCAACCACTGAGCCAGGCCTACCAGGCTAAGGTGGTGGTAAAAATGCTTGCATAAATAAAAGAATGGTATTTCGGATTTACTTCCTTTAAGATATTCCTTGAAACTATTGGGGAATTTGTTAAGAATTTATTACTAAAAATTTGAAAATTGCCTTCTAAGACCTTAGACCCATTTTTTTTCTTTAAATCCTTTCCCGAGGCTATGCTTACTGATTGGAGAGAGAGAGAGAAAAAATCATTGATGTGGGAGAGAAACATCAGTTGGTTGCCTCTCATACACACACTCATTGGGAAGTGAACACCCAGCCTCGGTATGTGCCCTGACCGGGAATTGAACCCACAGCCTTTCCCCATAGAGAGGATGCTCCCACAAACCAAACCACACCTCCAGGTCATGGGACCAAATTTAGGAAAGAAAACCTTATATGACTCCTAAGATTTGTGCGTATCCAAGGTCCAACAGACAGCTCAGCCAGTGGGAGTTCATGGAACCCCTGGTGACTTTGAGTGGATTGAATGTAATGCAATGTGTGCAACGCGCTCCTCGCTGTGCCAGGCTTGCACTCACTCTTGTGGTTTCGGTCGGACTCATCCTGTTTTCTGTGTCACTGTTAGGTCTTTTCCTTAGAATAGCTCGATGTTCATAAATTTTGCATCATTTCTCTAAAATGTTGGCCCTGAAAATTGGCAGCAAAGAGTTTAAATTTTTATCATCCAGTTACTGTCTCATTGGTGTAAGCTCAATAATTCAACTGTTCTTGAAATCTTTACTTGCATAATATAAGAGAAATAGTTTTTAATATATAAAGATTCTTTAAATTATAATATTTACTGTGTTCTCAGTTCACTACGTCTACAAATTTGTTTTTAGGTTAGATCTCATTTTGTTGAACATTAATTTAAATCTCATTATGCTTTCCACAAATGAAGGCTGTTAGATTTTTGCAATAGATTCTACACAAGAAGTGGATTGAGGTAGTTATCAAACAGTAACCCCTCGAGGTGGGATTTTTGTTGTTGTTCATTTGTTAGAGGCAGGAGTAGAATATTGGGGAAGAGCTATAATTATAAGGAATATTAATGGTGCTCTGCTAACCGTGATTGTTCTGTTCTGATTAGAGAAAGCACGCTCTAATCTGGCGGAGAGATGTAAGCCCTGGGACCTGGGAGCTATTAGGGAATGCAGACACCCTGGTTTCTGAGAAAGGCCTAGATTGGCAACCTCATTGCCTGTAATCTGGTCCCTGAGCCACCCGCCCTCTGCTAATTGCCCAGCCTGGTTGCCTGTAATTTGTAACCACTATACCTTGCCTACTTCCCCAGGCCTGAAATTTCTACTTTCCTATGGGATCTTTGTCCTTCTACCCAATGTAAGCAGCTGGATTATGGAGGGGTGGTGTCTGGGGGAGAGGGAGGACGGTACAACAGACTTTTTTGGGTGACCTGCTGTTCCCTCATTCTGCTGCATTAACGGAATAAATGCTCATATATGAGTCAATCCTGTCTCTCCTTCATTGGCTCAAGTAGTGATCGGCAGCTTGGACCCATTGGTTGTCAGTTTCACTTTCAGCAGGTTCATAACAGTTATTGGAGCGGAATAATTAATACAAATGATAATTGGTACTCCCTCCCCCCCATCATAAGTCCAAAGATTTCATCTACATAAGAGAATTTAAATTCATCTTAAATTAAGGAGTTTTTTAATTAATCCAAGTAAAGCCATTACTAGTTTAGAAATAATTAAAACACTTTTAGCTCATTGATTGGCAGCCTAAATCTTCAAATTCTGTTCTGAGTATACCTATATATTCGTTCTCTAAATGTCTTTCTTGCATGGGCTAATTCAGTACTGCTTCCACAGAAAGTTATATACAAAATCCTATTGTTAAAATATTTTCCAGTCTGGCCATCATGGCTCAGTGATTGAGCATCAAACTATGAACCAGGAGATCACGGATCCATACACAGTCAGGGCAGATGCCCGGGTTGGGGGCTGGATCCCCATTATGGGGCTTGCAGGAGGCAGTAGATCAATGCTTCTCTCTTCATTGATGTTTCTCTCTCTCTCCCCCTCTCCTTTCTCCTCTGTACTCAATATATATATATATATATATATAATTGATTTTTATATATATAGAGAGAGGGATAGAGAGTTAGAAACATCGATTAGAGAGAATCATTGATCAGCTGCCTCTTGCACACCTATTGGGGATGTGCCCCCAACCAAGGTACATGCCCTTGACTGGAATCGAACCTGGGACCTTTCATTCCGCAGGCCGACACTCTATCCACTGAGCCAAACCGTTTTGGCTAAAGATATATTTTTAAATAAATAAAGTATTTTCCAAATATACAGCATTACTTTGTTCATGTTTGGTATGAAATACATATTGGTTAGTGGTCTGTCAAATTGTTTTTTAGGCAGTTGACAGGTGGACTTCAGGGTTCTATGTCTGAACTCTTCCCAGTGGATGGGGAGAAGAATTCCCGAGCTGAGCTCTCTAGGTTAGACTTCACAAAATAAAGTGAATGTGTTGCTTCCTTAAAGCAGTGTTTCCCAAACTTTTGACATATGTGTACCCCTTCTATAATTTTCATAACCCTGAGTACCCCAAGTACTCGTGAGAACATAGAATTAGGCACAGCTAAGCACGGTGTAGTGCATATCCCCACCAAACTCCCGTGCAACATGTACCCCCACCAAACTCTTCCCGTACCCCTGGGGGTATGCGTTCCACATTTTGGGAAACACTGCCTTAATGGAATGGGTCAAATCTTTGTAATTTGTTTGATGGGAAAAAAGTAATTTTTCAAAATGTGGGTAGACATATTAGAATGAAGTGGTTAGTTTCCATTTGTAATGTTATAGGATGTATAAATTAACCTTTATGTTTCTTTATGTTTTATGTGCCCAGCTAGATCTGATGTTTTATAGAGAGCTTGGCATAATTTTTGTGTATTCCAAAGCAGTTAGCACGGGGCGTGAGCTGCTGGCAGAGCCGTTTAGAATGCGGAACCTAGAGCCGTTTGACATGGTGGGCATGGAGAAGTGGAATGTTAGGTGCAGAGTTGGTGATTGTGGAGTGGGTAGGCATGGAGTAGGAGGGTTAGGAGTCGGTATGTGAGGAGTTGGTGGGAGCGGAATGGTTTTGTGCGGAGTTGGAGGGTGCGGAGTAGTTTGGTGAACTGTCAGTTTGTGGAGAGCAGGTGTGAAAAGTCAGTGTGAGAAAAGCTGGTGGACATACAGTCGGTGAGTGCAGAGCCTCTTCCTGGGTAAGAAGGGACTCTCCCTGCCTGCCCCTCGGGGCTGTTGTGAAGATTGAATGAGCAAGGACAGAGAGCACCGAGCCCTGGGCTGGGGATGGGCAGAGAGACGGGGCCCAGGCGACTCCAGAGTCTGTGAGCTAACCCTTCCCGCTGCCATGCATTGATCAGAACCGCACCCACTGGCAGTAGGTCCACGGCTTCCCTTCCACCAAGAAACTTGGGTGCTGGATTGTGGGGGTAAAATGAACATGAGATGGAAAAGCAGGAGCTACTGCCCCCTCACAGCTGTTCGAACCGTGCGTGGGGCCTGGCTTGCAAAACTGCCCACCAAGAGCAACGGACACATCCCGTGTATTCGTGTTCCCAAACTGAGAAGCCAGACTGGGGAGACTCAGCCCCCGAGGACAGTGGTTCCGGGAGGAATCTGGGCGGGAGGAGAGATGAGGGAAAGAGCTGATCCCGTGTGTGCTGGGCCCTGGGACAGGAATAGGCCCCACGGACTCCTTCCCTGAGGGGGCCTGTGAGGGGCCAGCCTTGGCGTCCCACACCAGATGTGCCTGACACCCAGAGGCCCTCAGTCCTGTCTGTTGTGTCTCAGCCCTCATTTCCGGGACACTGTCCAGAGCTGTTGGTTTTTTGAGACGACATGTGTGACCTGTTCAGAAGGGAACTGTGTATTTAACAACAACTCGCCCGAATAGCCATTTATTTCCCAGCGCCCAGATGAGTGGAGTGACTGTGGAATTGAGAGGCCTAGGCTCAGCCCTCATACCTGGATAGCTCTTAGCCCCACCCCTTCCTGGTTAAGGAAATGGGCTCAGTGAAGTCCCATACCTATCAGCAGGTCTCTCATCCAAGCAGGCGAGGCTGTACACGTCAGACACTCTCGCATCAGGGTACCAGAGATGGGGCAGTGTTAGGTTTATGTGGTGTGCTTCCCTGATTTTCTGCTCCTGCGGACACAGGGGACTGCTGCCAGCCAAGAGTCATCGGCTAAGCTCAGCAGCTTAAGTGGGCACCACAGAGGCCCTCAAAGCAGACAGGGCCTGCTGAAGGGGTGATGCCCAGGTGGTAGCTCCATGCCGAGGGGTGTCCTGTGGGAGGCAGGCGGTCAGTGATTCTCTCATCATTGATATGTCTATCTCTCCATCTCCTTTGCTCTCTGTGATCAATAAAAATATATTTGAAAGAAATACATTGGAGGTTCGGTGCATGAAATTCATGTGTCGGGGTGAGGGGCCCTCAGCCTGGCCTCCTGCACCTCTCCAATCTGGGACTGCACCTCCAATCTGGGGCTCCCTGATTTTCAGGGATCAGGCCTAATATGGCAGTCAGCCATCCCTCTCTCAATCCAGGACTGCTGGCCCCTAACTGCTCGCCTGCCTGCCTGACCAGCCTTTAACTGCTCCTCTGCCAGCCTGATCCCTCCCTTACTCCTCTCCCCTGCTGCCAGTTTGATCACTCCTACCTTCTCTCCCCTGCCGGCCTGATACCCCTAACACCTGTGCTTTATTCCCCACCACTTTGGCTTTATCTAGAATGATGTCCAGAAGACTACTGGTCTATTTAGCATATTACCCTTTTATTACTATAGTTATTAAACAACAACAATAACAACAACAACAAAAACAACCCACAGATAAGGCCTGGCTGCTGTGTTGCTTTCCTTAAAGGATGGATATCGGTGGCTGATGTGGCAAAAAGGGTCTCTGCTGGCATCTAGGATGTGCGTTAAGCTGTGATTTTCGGTCCCCATGGCCTTTCCAAGACATGTTAAACCAGCTAAGGGCCTCAGAGCTGTCCGTCCTCCTATCCCTGCTTTACAGCCCTGTGCTGTGCGTCACTTTGTTCAGACATCACTGACCTCGGGTGTCTTCGTCGCCTACCACTGGGGCAGCATGTCTTAGTGGCTGTAGGTGTCCCAGCTGGGCCCTGTGTTGGAGTCACTTCTGTGCAGCTGTGTGTTAGGAAGTGAGCAGGTGCATGGAGGCCCTGCATCCGGGGGGAGGGAGGGCAGCTGCACGGGGCAGGGCCTGCCCAGAGGGTGCCCTGGTGCGCATCCTCACCCACCACTCTTCTTGCACTAGGAGCCTGGACAGAGCCCCCAGCAGCTCCTTGAGGAGCTGCTGGGGGACAACATGGCCCTGGAGGCGGAGCAGGGCCTAAGGATCAACGAGTCCGACCACCAGAGCGCGGAGCTGGGCCAGGAGTCAGAAGGTAGGCAGCAGCCCCTGGCACTGGGGAGCCGGCCTGGCTGCAGCTTCTCCCTCAGCCAGGGAGCTGAGCTCTTGGCTCTGAATCTCCTGGGTCAGCCCAACCTCAGCCCAAGTCCATGGGGTTTGATTCAAGGGCTGTTTGGAACTGTCAACTGCCTTCTTCCCAAGGAGAACATGAAGGGTCTGGCAGCCTTGAAGTCAGGACATGAATTACAATGTAAGTGCTGCCAGTTTTCTCAGCTCCCATGCAGACAGTCCCAGGAGCCTTCAGAGGACAGCACGCTGACCCCCAGCAGCTGTCTTACATCTGTTTGTGTGGGACTGAGGCACCTTCCCAGCGGTCACTAACCTGTACTATCACAGGAGCCTGGGCTGATTCCCTCTGTTCATGTCCTCATCGGGCAAATGGGTGCTGTCTGTACTGTCTCCCTGGACAGGGGTTGGCTGCTTAGGGACCCCTCCTCCCCAAGGGGTGGTAAGTTCTGGGCACACGCGCCCCAGAGGCTCTACCCCCCACAGACATACTGGTCAATTTTTGTGCCCCCCACATTGCCAGCTGAGCTACCCAAGACCCCACTCTGAGGTTGGCAGAGAACAAGCATGTGTTTGCCTTCTCTGAGAGTGTCTGAAATTCTTGACTTGAAGGTCAGGTTGGAACTTGGCAAAAAGTGGTTCCAGCATTTCCAGCATCTTGAACTTTTGTATTGGCCTGTCCACGGTCACCTGCTTTCTTCTTAAACTCTGGGTGGCTCCCCAATGGACCCAAGAGGAGCCAGCAGAGGGGCCACAACCCACAGCAACAGCACCCTGTGAACAACAGAGGGCATCCAGCTGGCCATCTCCAGTCTGCAGACCTAGGCTTCAAGGGGATGGCCTTCTCAGAGAGATGACCGTCTCGAGGTGGAGACAGAGAGGGGAGCGGAAGCCCTGGGATCGGAGCTCTCACTCTACTTTGCTCTTCAGCCTCCAGCGAGACGCTGGCACTGGGGCAAAATTTCCAGGCCCCTCAGGACACAGTCCTGGAGCTGCAGGGCGATACCCAAGTCCTGCAGGAGAGCAACAGCAAGTGTGAAGAGCTGATGAAAGAGAACCGGCAGCTCCGGGAGCAGGTAACGGAGTGTGTGTGTGTGTGTGTGTGTGTCCGGAACATATGGGCCAGCCGGAGGCCGGGTGTGACATAGGGTAACAGGTTTGTGGTTTGCTTTAAAGCCAAGTTCACTTTGTGACCTGACTGGCACGGGCTGGGTCTATGGCTCTGCAGGTGGCAAAGTTGGGGATCCAACTACGGATTGAGAAGAACACCAGTGAGCACTTGAGGAGCGTCCAAGAAGAGCTGGAGGGAGAACAGGAGCACATGTTCAACATCATCGAAAACCAGACACTGCCCAGGTCCCCGCAGGTAGGCCCTCAGAGCGCAGGACCCCGGTGCCCCTGTCTGCTGGAGGGAAGGTCCGGATCACAGCCGTGTCCTGGTCATTGATCAGTGATTCCCACTGACCAGTTCCCTAGCTCAGCTGCAGCTCAGAACAGCGATTCTCAGCCACGGCAAGGCCACGGGGCAGGTATTGCCTCCCCAGGACACTGGCCATCTTGTTGTTGATGGACAGGACTGGGGGGCTGAGAAGGAGGTGCTGCTGGCTGTGCAGGGTGGATAGTTGTTCTGTTGATATCAGGGAAAATTAGATGTTAGTGTTGTCCAGGTATTCTGCATCCTTACTGAGGTTCCATGTGCTTTAAAAAATAGGGTTTTAAATGTGGTCAAAGAAGGCAACCAAGGAGCTGATCCATTTGCCCTAAAGTTCCCATGTGTGGAGAGGACACGGGACTCATGTAGCCCCATGTGATGGTCCCTTCATGCCCTGGGCCGTCCCAGTGCAGTTCCTTAAGCGCTGGGAGAACCGCACTCAGCACGGCTGGGTGTTGCCTGCCCCGAGGGTCCCTGGTCCTTTGGGGTCTGCACTTGCCCTGCTCTTGGACTCTCACTGGGTGTGGGGGTGCAGGGATGGGGAGTGAGTGGCTCCCCGGGGCCTGCACCCAGTGAGGCATCCTCACCTTTTCCCCCTGAACCAGCAGGGGGCCGAGGAGAAGCAGCTTGAGGAGCTGGGGGAGCAGCAGAAGCAGCTGACTGAAGTCCAGGAGGCCCTGCTGCGGGAGCAGGAGACCAATGCCCTGGTCACCCAGGAAAATGAGAGGCTGCAGCAGGAGGTGGCCAGGTAACCGCCTCCGCCCTGCAGCGGCATCTGCCGGGTTTCATTCCCACCAGCTCTCTGAGCTCCCCCCTGAGCTCAGCTCCAGTGAGGCCTCTGGTTAGGGTGCACTCTCACCCCCGCACTGCCCCCCTTTCCCTTTAGGGTCACAGCTGATGGTCTCGGGAAAGGGCCTACAACTGGTGGCTGGGATGGAAGGACTAGTGACAGCTGGGATGGAGCATGGTCCAGGGTTGGAGGGCCGCCCATCCCACATGACGATGGTGATGAGTGTGTTGGGCAGGGGCAACTTCATCCTCTCACACCTGCGATCCCGGGAAGGACGTGTGCTCGCTCCGCGTCATTCTCGCGTTCCCTGTGGGTGAATTCACCTGCTGGCTGACATGCGTTGTCGCCCCCACATCGGTCTCCGTGGCCTCTCAGGGGCCTGTCCAGAGGGGGAGACACGGGAGTCGCCTGATGTGCACATTTGCAGCTGCGGTTGAACAGGCCTCTGACTCCTGCCTGTTTCAGCTCTCACACTGCAAACGAGTGTCCCTTCCGCGCTCCACTGAGGACCGTGGGCTCTATTTTCGTGCTTTTCGGTGGCGATGTCGCTGTGTGAAATGGCCCCGAATGGAGTGCTGAGGGCTGTCTAGTGTCCCCAAGTGCAAGCTGCGCTGGGCCTCAGGGACAATATCCGAGTGGCACCTGAGGTTCCTTCAGGCCCGAGGTATGGTGCTGATGGCTGTGAGCATAGTAACCAAAGCGTCTTTAGGTCTTGATTGGTTGACAAAGATGTGGCCAGAGACTCCAGGAACAGTTGGGACAGTTGCAGTTACACTGACTCAGTTCTCTCAGTGGCTTCATAGGACAGTATCCTGTGAATCGTGAGAATTGACTGCACTATTATCCTTTTTCCCCCCTAAAGATGAGGAAAGGGGCTCTGAGAGAGTAACTAGGATGTTGAGTCAATCCTGGGGGTAGTGGCCAGTCAGGATTCAAATCCAGGTCTTATCTCATCCCAGAGGCATGACCACAGGAAGCCTTCCTTTGCACAGCCTTGTTTGAGTAGATGTTGGGGCTACAAACTTACAAACTCAGGTGCCTGCGGTGGGGGGGGGGGGGGGGGGAGGAGAGGAAGGTCCAGCAGGTGGGGGAGGAGTGTCAGCCGGAGGCCAGGCCTCCTGGAGAATGCACACCCTCTGAAGGCTGTCAGCTAGAGGCAGGCCCGCGCTGCCGAGTCATCCTTTTGTTTCTGCTTTTTAACAAAAAGTTAATCCTCATCTCAGGATAATTTTTGCACTGCCCTTCAGAGAGAGTGAAAGGAAGGGCGGGAGCGGGCAAGAGACACTTCTCCTGGCTGCCTACAGCACACACCCCTCTATGCCACAGAGCAATCCCACCGCCAGGTGCATGGCCCTAACTGGGAATCCAACCCGAGGCGGTTCCGTACATAGATTGACGCTGTCTCTGCGGAGCCACACCTGCCAGGGCCTTTGCTTTATGCTTTCTCCCACTTTCCGAGAAGGGCGATAGCTGAGAGTTGATGTGAAACTTGACATTTTAAAATATTAAATAACTAACTTAAATTAAATAACAAAGTTGTGTGGACCTAACAGGGGCCCTCTGTGTTCATATTGAGTCTGTGAGCCTCTGGGCATTGAGATTTCAGGTATAACCCTTTTCCCCGGAAAGCCAGTCGGGTAATTATGACAATGATGGCGATGATGATGATGCGGATGTCAGTGGCTTTACATAATGCTCCAGAATCTCACAGTTTATTTGTGTCAGGAGTTGAAATCAGAAAGGGACTTGGCCTGGGGAGAAGAGCTGGCAAAGACAGAGTTTCAGAGCAAAGATGTTCTGATTCCAAGTTTTCCAAAAGTGTTTTAGTGCAAGAACCGTTTTTCCAAGGAGGCGGCTCTGCAAAGCCTTCCATGGGAAGGGCTGTCACAGGCTGCTCTGTTGAAGTGTCTGAGCCTGCCTGTCCTGTGTCCCCAGTCCACAGGGGGCAACTGGGTGGCCACATAGAACCCCAGTGGACACAGTTGGAGAAGCGCTGACTGTGCTCAGCCCTCATTTACAGGGGACACCCTGAGGCCCAGAGAGGCGGTGGGTGTGATGGAGGCGCACCTCTGGGATGGAGGCTGGGAGTGCTCCTCAGCCCTGGGCCCTGTGGCTCTCGACCCACAGACTGACCTCCTGGACCGAGCAGCTGCAGGCAGAGCAGGGGGAGCTTCTCACCAAGATCGAGGATCTGCAGGCCTCCTTAGAGAATGAGCAGGAGAATTTTCAGATCTTCCAGAACGAGTACTACAAGATGAGGGTGGAGCAATGGTCTAAGGAAATCAATCTGCCAAAGCTCAGTGCCCAGTGCGAGGTGAGAACTGGGGCTGGTGGGCCTCAGGACACCGGGCCTGAGCCCTGCGCTGACAGTCGGGGGCTCAGCCAGGTCCGCATGTGTCCTCATTGGCGTCTGTGCCCAAACACTGTGTGTGAATGTCACCCAGAGGCCGGGAGGCAGCCAGAGGCGTTTAACGGCCACAAGCACCTTGGCTGGTGGGGATGTGTCAGAAAAGACCTTTCACCGGACCTTTGCTGTTTTCCTTTTTTAAGCACATTTTTATTGATTTGAGAGAGAACAAGGGAGAGGAAGAAAGAGATAGAAACATCAATGATGACAGAGAAGCATCATTCAGCTGCCCTCTACACCACCCCAGCGGGGGATACTCCCCACCAACTGGGCATATGCCCTTGGGAAAGGAACCCAGAGCCCTTTAGTCCGAGGTCCGATGCTCTATCCACTGCACTAAACTGGTTAGGGCCTGACCTTTGCTTTTGCAGGGTCTGGGCGGTGCATGGAAATAGACAAGTGCCGTTTTCTCTGTCCTCTGGGCTGAGCTCTGTGCTCTGTGCTCCTGTGTCATCGCATTGAATTCTCGCGATGC